TTTAAGATTTTATTTATTTATTCATGAGAGACACACTGAGGCAGAGACATAGACAGAGGGAGAAGCAGGCTCCTCGCAGGGAGCCCAGTGTGGGACTCAATCCCCAGATCCGGGATTACACCCTGTGCCAAAGGCAGATGCTCAACTGATGAGCCACCTAGGCGTCCCATATTTTACATTTTCATTAATACTCGGAATTGGCAGAAAAGACAGATGCTATAATTAAAACTCAACTAGCTAAATTTAGAGAAGCCTTTAACTCACCCCGGCCTAAGGTACTGCCAATTGTATTGTTAAATTTAAGACCCACATCTTTCAAAAAACATAAATTAATGCTCTTTGAGAGCATAACTGGGAGACCTATGAGGTTAAGTTCAGGAATTCATGCACCTTGATTAATTTTTTTTTAAAGATTTTATTTATTCATTCATGAGAGACACAGAGAGAGAGGCAGAGGGAGAAGCAGGCATCATACAGAGAGCCTGCCGCGGGACTCAATCCAGGGTCTCCAGGATCACGCCCTGGGCTGCAGGTGGCGCCAAACCGCTGCGCCACCGGGGCTGCCCGTACCTTGACTAATTAAAGGAGAAATACTTGAATATCACATAGAGGCTTCAAAGAAAATGCATGCTTGGTAGGAAAGTCCTTCCACAGCATGCTCCCAGGAGGCAGACATCATATGTCACTACCTCCAACTTGGAGACTCTGTCTATTGGAAAAGAGGTCTCCACAAGTTGCTTTACAGCCTCAATGGAAAAGACCTACAAGGTTACTTTGGAAAAATCCTCGTGCAGTTAAACTCAAAGGCATTGATTCTTGGGTTCATGGTTCTCATTTAAGGAAAGCTCTAATACCTGGTGGGCGGTCCATCCCAATCAGAGAATTAAAACGTATGACATCCCAGAAGCAGAAGCAGAAGCGGATGACATCTTAATAGACAGCTATCCCAAGACTCTGAACCAGGCCTATATATGACAATTAAAAAATTTTTTCATCATCTTTTATACTTTTATTCCTCTTATCCTATGATTGTTATACCAACTCTACCATACAAAGTTTTATTCACACATGTAACCCTGATCCTTGCGTTTCTGATTGTAGAAATACTTGTTTTAAAATGGGGAGTTTTATGAATACTTAGGTGCCTAAATACTTAATATTTAAGGAAACTTAAAGGCTATGTGACCATTTTATAGGATGATTAAGCTAGTTGAAATATTTGGGATATTACTCCTTCTGATTGGAATTCTCATGACTTTTGATCTTTGACACAAGGCCAGGCTTCTCTGCTGGTGGCAAAATCCCCTCTTTAATCAACCCTGGTTTATTAGAACTGGTTTAGGTTAACAACAGATACGACCTTAAGTCACTTTGCCTCATGTTTGGTCCCAAAGCCCTAGAGCTTTTATGTTAGTTTCCCCGATACAGATGGGCAATAAATCCACAGAAAATTCACACCCCAAGTACAATCATAAAATTTTTAGGAATCATTTAGTTGACTTTCTGTCTATCCTATGGTGTCCAGTCATGGGATGGACACCTGATGGAAATGCCCACTCATTTGCCCAAAATAAAAATCAACCCAACTGTTGAATATGTGAACAGCTTTCCCTCTTTAGCTTGTCAGAATTACCGTGGTGGATATTAGATATTATCACTTCCTAAGGAAGATTGGAAGGCCTCAGAGCAACACATTAAGGAAGAACATGCTGAGAATGGTATCCTTAGTACATCCGACATTAGTAACTCTGATCCAGAAGCCTGGCCTATAGCACATACTATTAATGATACAGGACATAAGTATTCTTTTTCTGTTAACCAAACCATGCAGACAGCCCACCAATTTGTTAGCCAAAAGAATCCAAAAATATGACTGTCAGAACCATGGGTGGCTATACTCAGATTTGGGATAGGTGTATGTGGCTTACCCCAGTATGGACATTTGAACACCCAGGCACCCCTATGTTGTTGGGAACAATAACAAAATCACTCTAAACATAACCAACCCAACTGCACCCAAGATGTGGGATGGATATCTAGAACTTTGGAAGCATTCTGTTATATTGAAGGAAACTGATTGGTTACACTGTCCATATGTTTACTAAGCAGCCCTGAGTGGAACTCAGTGGTTATGTGGCACAGATCACAGGTCATGACTTCTACCTGGATGTTAGATCATTGCACCCTAGGGCTTTCCCTGAGGGTGAGGGAGAATTCATCCCACTGTCTTTGTTCCCTCTGTTGGCCAAGATGTATACTGAAGCTTTACTAAATTTACCCAACAAGCTTTACATGACAGCCAGCAAAAAATATTGTATATTCTCACCCAATGAATCTGCAATCATGTCATCTTTACTAAATCATAGGAGGAAGCAATCCTTGTACATAAGTCATTTTATACCTGTGCAATTGCACCTGTAGGATAAATTCTGAGAAGTGTAACAGTTAAGTCAAAAAGAAAATGCCTTTGTAATTTTTATAAATATTGCCAAACTACCCTCCCTAAGGGTTGTACCAATTTTCAGTCCTACATGACCTGTCCATCTGGCCTGGGCTTCCTCAAAGAATGGTGACTGGGTTAAAAAAAAACAAACATCCCAGGAGAACCACATGGAGTCTGTTACCCCTTTTATGACTTAGCCTCAGAAGTCACATCATGTCACTTCCTCCGTAGTCACATATTCAAGGATTAGGGACATAGATCTTATCTCTCCTTAGGAGGTATGCCAATGTCACATTGTAAGAACAGCACATAGGATGGTAGATCTTCTATCATCTTGGAAAATTCAGTTGGCCACACAACTTGTTCTGTTCTTTGTTACTAAATCTATGTAAATATAACTTGAACAAAGAGCTCTTCTAAAACTTCAAAAAATTATGAAATTGTTACCATGTCCCATGAAAAGAATTGTGTTAGATATGTTGTTTGCTCCTTTAGAACCACCTTCCACCAGTGTCCACTCTGTTCTGCACCCACAAGTGCTGGCCCGTATGGATTGCATCAATAAGCTCTCTTGTTTATTACTCTCTTCTCATTAGATCCTTCCAATTAGCGGCACTTACAGAAGATAAGAAATCTGGGAGAAATGGGATCAGGATATTTATTCCCTGCCTGGATTATGGGTTGGTCGATTTCTTTAGTTACAGCCTCTGCCTGAAGACCCTCTCCTACCTTATCCTTCCCTTACCTCTTTAAGATTAGGGGTAGCAGGGATCCCTGGATGGCGCAGCGGTTTAGCACCTGCCTTTGGCCCAGGGTGTGATCCTGGAGACCCGGGATTGAATCCCACGTCAGGCTCCCGGTGCATGGAACCTCTGCCCCTCTCTCTCTCTCTCTCTCTCTCTCTCTCTCTCTCTCTCTCTGTGACTATGGAGCCTGCTTCTCCCTCTGCCCGTGTCTCTGCCTCTCTCTCTGTGTGTGACTATCATAAATAAATAAAAATTAAAAAAAAATTAGGGGTAGCAATGGCTTTTCCCTGCTGCTAGCCCTGGAATGCTTCACTTTCTTTTGCTGGTTTCTCTTAACCCAAGCCACAACTTTGTAAACAATCACTTCATTAAACTCTCCTTAATTATTTGACTTCAGTTTGTAGGGCTCTGACAAAATGTTTTGTAGAACCTGTAATTCCAATGTGATCTTTCTGAAAATAATTATGTCATGGACATTTCTGTATTCCTAAAGAATATAAATACATGCAAGACTCCTCTATCAATTCATCCATGATACAGAAAACAATAAAGGCCTAGATTTGCTGCATTTTTTAATTTATTTATGATAGTCACAGAGAGAGAGAGAGAGGCAGAGACATAGGCAGAGGGAGAAGCAGGCTCCATGCACCGGGAGCCCGACATGGGATTTGATCCTGGGTCTCCAGGATCGCGCCCTGGGCCAAAGGCAGGCGCTAAACCACTGTGCCACCCAGGGATTAATAGTGCTTGCTGCATTAATAGTGGTTAAGAAACTTGCCTCATTTAAATCAGTGGCATTAAACAAAGCAATTCCACACTTGTTTAATTACACTTATGTAAATGTAACAAAGAAGAAAGTATGATGAGCTATAACAGGCAAGTGACCCTTCAGGCAGTGGAGGTTGAGGCTTCCCTGAAGAAAGACATTTAATAAAATCTCAGGCAGGAGAGGGGGGACATCTAATGCCAAATGGTAAAAGTCAGCAATAACTCATCATTTGCTATGGGCCAGGTACTAGTCACAGATACTTCACCCATATTATCTAATTTATCCCCAAACTACTCTGTTACATAGGTATTGCTTTATTATTTCTTTTTCATAGATGATGAACCAAAGGGCAGACTAGTTAGCAAATAAATAAGAACGATCATACTGTTCATTATTGAATGAGTGAACAGATACATGAAGAATGCTGTTCTGTGCAGAATTTTCCAAAGAAAGTCAAAGCCTCAAATTAATCCAAATCCTCTGCATCACGAAGATACTCAAGATACCAAATAGCCCCAACCAATTTGTTCCTTCTTTCACTCAACAGTATGAAATTAGTTCATACCCTACACCAGGTACCGTTCGGGCCACAGGAATCCGCTGTGCTCTTGGAGCTCACGTTGACCTGAGCAGGGCGACAATAAACTAAGCGGGGATTAAAACAGGATGAAGTAAACAAACAAACAAAAACAGTATGACGTGATGGCAACTGTGAATCTACCCTGGATTTGAATTCAGAAATCCGAACTACAAGGTTGGTCAGATGATGAGCACATCTTGAGCTTTGGGTTGCATTTCCACACACATTCGGTGTTTTTTTTTCCTCTTCTTCGTCCCAAGAGCGCTGACGCCAGGTCTCTGGTTTTACCCGCGCCGCCCAGGTGTCTCTACTCAACGCGCCTGCGCACAGCCCTGGACCAATCGGATGCGGCCCAGGGCTGCGACGGGCGGGGATTGGTTCCTTGTCTCCGGGAGAAGCAGAAAGGGGCGGGGTTTTCTCCCAGATACCTGTGGCTACCGCCCGCCGGAAGTGAGCCAGAGAGTCGGGAAAGTTACTTGTCGCCGAAGTCTGAGGGATCGGGCGCTGCCGGGTGATGGCGGCTGGGTCTGAGTCTGGGAATGAGAAGGTGGGTGGCGGGCTTCGCCCAGGGGATGGGCAGGGGCGCCTGCGGCTACAGGCTTGGCTAGACGTGGAGGCGACGCCAGGGAGGGAGGCACACGCCGTGGGGTCCGGCCGGCGCTGAGGGCTCGACCCGGCGGGGCCGCCCCGTCTCCAGCCGGTGCTCCTTGCCCAGGTGCCGGCGAACAGCGCGGAGGGCGGAGAGCAGCCCCCGGCGGCGCCCGCGGAGCTGGCCGCGCAGAGGCGCGAACAGAGGCTGCGCAAATTCCGGGAGCTGCACCTGAAGCGGGTGAGTAGCCCGCGGGGCCGCGGAGACCTGTCCCCCCCGCGGCGGGCGCGACGCGGGAGGGACGACCGAGCCGCACCTGCGCGCCTGACCGACCCCGGAGCTGAAGAAAGGTCTTTCCCGGTGGTTTCCAACCTAGTAGCACTCTGGAATCCCTCCAGAGCTTTTGGGGGTTTGTTTTGTTTTGTTTTGTTTTTTATTCATGAGAGACACAAAGAGAGAGGCAGAGACACAGGCAGAGGGAGAAGCAGGCTCCATGCAGGGAGCCCGACGCGGGACTCGATCCCAGGACCCCGGGATCACGCCCTGGGCCGAAGGCAAGCGCTGAACCGCTGAGCCACCCGGGGATCCCCGCACTCCAGAACTTTGTAAAAATGCTCGTGCTTTTTTTTTTAATGCAAGCTCTCCCCACACGCTCCGCTCTAGTGATTCTATCAAACCCTTCTTTTTATGGAGGGGGATACCGCGGGCCAGAAGTGGAAGGGAATGTGTCTTGTCACACAGCAAGTTGGCCACTCACTCACTCATCCCAACACCCTCCTCCCCACTTCCCGCCAAGCTCCTAGTGTGCCCCAGACAGCTAGTGTGGATGCAGCGGTTAAAACAGTAAGGCCCCTGCCTCAGGTCCAGAACCGGTAATTACACCACGACTCGGTAATTGTATGTTAAAGGGAGGAGCAAAGTGCCTCAAGGACAGAGAAGAAAAAGACAACTAAGGACTAATGGGACAAGTAAGGGATCCCTGGGTGGCGCAGCGGTTTGGCGCCTGCCTTTGGCCCGGGGCACGATCCTGGAGACTCAGGATCGAATCCCACGTCGGGCTCCCGGTGCATGGAGCCTGCTACTCCCTCTGCCTATGTCTCTGCGCCTCTCTCTCTCTCTCTCTCTCTCTCTGTGACTATCATAAATAAATAAAAATTAAAAATAAAAAAAAAATAAAAAAAAAATAATGGGACAAGTAAGCTTCTTGAAAGATGAGTGAGATACTATCCCACAAGTAAAGGAGACGGGAAGAGGTATCCAAGCGGTATCCAAGCGAGCGTAAGAACAAGTGCAAAGGCAGGAGTCCTCATGAGGGTGGGAGGCCCGCAGGCAGGCAGGGTATGTGTGAGGAGTGTACTTATTTTTATTTGCCCAGAAAAACTCAATCTAAAAGCTGGTACTGTGTGAAGAGTAGGCTGGAATGAAGAAATAATATAATTCAAACATCACACTTTTGCGGTTTTATTAACAGATCACTGGATGTAGGTAATCAGTAACTGCAAACATCACAAAAAGGGAGAAAATCAGAGATTATGTGTCTCCTGATAGAAGTATGTAACCCTAGTTTCATATAATACTTGTTAAAAATAAGTATTACCCAAACTGAATGAAACCACTAGATCTAATGAACAGTTTACAAGAAATACAGGGATCAACGGATCATGTTAAAGGACATCACAGGGAGACAGCTAGCACTTCGGGAAATAGGACACACAGCCTAAGCATTTTCACAGTCCTCAAAAGAGCAGGGGGTTAAAGAGATAGAGAATTAAACTATAGAATAAATAAACCTTAAGAGATATATTGACTAATCGGAATATATGGAACTTTTCTGAATTCAAACTGTAAAAATAATAAACACTTGAGACCATCAGGAATATGTGAACATTAGAGGGTATTTGATATTGAGGAATTCATTACTTTGGGAGTGTGATGGTAAATGTATTGTTAGAGATACCAGAAGGGTCCCTGGCTGGCTCAGTCAGTGGAGCATGCAACTCTTGATCACAGGGTTGTGATCAAGCCCCACGATGGATGTAGAGATTACTTAAAAATAAAATATTTTCTAAATAATTAAAATATTCATAGATAGGAAAAAAAACAGCCAGAAATCAGAAAATGTGGTCTTGGCCTAACTCTGCCAGTAACTCTGTGGTCTAAAAACTTTCTCAACTTTATAAGCATAGGTTGGAGGGCAACCCCGGGGTGGCTCAGCAGTTTAGCGCCGCCTGCAGCCCAGGGTGTGATCCTGGAGACCCAAGATCGAGTCCCGCATCGGGCTCCCTACATGGAGCCTGCTTGTCCCTCTACCTGTGTCTCTGCCTCTCTCTCTCATGAATAAATAAATCTTTATTAAAAAAGAAATAAGCATAGATTGGAGTCCCTCTCCTATCACTTTCACAGTTTATATATGGAACCACCAGTGTTTTTCTTTAAATTGCTATTTAAATTTAATATTACTATTTCAGATGGGAATTTTAAATTTTTATGTCTTTAGACATTCTCTTTTCATCTTTTCTGTTTCTGGGTTTCGTTTTTGAGTTTTTTGTGTTTTGTTTTGGGTTGGAGGTCATTTTGTTTGATTTGGTTGGAAAAAAAGATTGCTTTTTTCTATAGTCTTCCACAGTCTGGGTTTTGTGGGTTGCATTCTGATGGTGTCTCCTACCCTGTTTGTTTTTTTTAAAAAGGTGTTAGGGTGTTCTCCGAAGTATTAAAAACCCATTAGTCACTGAGAATTTATCTTGGATCCAATTTGAATTAAAAGAGAGATGAAAACAGAATCACCTTCTCAGTATGTGAATCAGTATCATTCAGTAGCATCTAAAATCCTCTCCAGCCCCTGCGTACAGTGGAACTCACACTGTGGGAAACCCTGTTTCAATCTAATCCTAAAAAAACTTGCTTACATCACACAGCCAGAGAGTAGTCAAGCCCATAAATCCCTCAGGCCTTCTTACTTCCAAACCATAGCTCTTTCCATTCCTACTGCCTAGTTCCTTGAAGGTAGTAAAAGAGTATTTAAAGTTACCAGTATAGGTGTTGACCTCCTCATCTCCCCCTCCATAAAATTCTCCCAACATGAATACACAGTAAAATTATCTACTGGCTCTCCTCTGTTCAGGATAACATCCAAAGGTCTGCTTTGGATGCCTGCCATACAAGAAAACAGGTAATGTCTATTTAGATTTTTTTCATACCTGTGGTAACAAACTTTATGTGTCCTGGTGGCAGAATGAAGCTCGAAAGTTAAATCACCAGGAAGTTGTGGAGGAAGATAAAAGACTTAAATTACCTGCAAACTCGGAGGCTAAAAAAGCTCATCTGGAACGGGAGCTGCAGGAAGAAGAAAAGAAAAAAGTAAGCACAATTCCAGCATCCTCACAAGCTGTGATTTCCAGGATTCTGTTGTGTTTTCTCAAGGCAGCCTATGGCATGGTAGATGAGCACTCCCGCTCTGGTCTCAGCTGCACCTGACAGAGTTGTGAGACTGAAATGTGTAAAACACTAAATGCAGTGCTTGGCACATAGAGTAGCATAAGCAATGACTATTAGACTGAGAACCTAAGCCACAGTAACAAAAGCTCCAACAATAAGAAACTGTAATTAGCTCCTGAGCCTCTTATGCATCAGTTTTCCCTTTGAGCAGCCCTAGTCACCTGGCCTGATCCAGCTTCAGGGGAGGTTAGGAAATGGGCAACGCTGAGCCTGGAAAGGAGGGGAGAAAGGATTTTAACAAATAGCTAAGGTGCTCACCACGGCTGTTTTTGGTGTCAGTGTTACAGATTATTACTTCTTACAGATCATAGCAAATTCCACAATTTTCAAGCTAATCAACTTAAACCGTCTGGATAGCAGTCTTTAGGGCTCTTTTGATTTTAAAGGGATCAAAAAATTATATAAGAGTATGCAGCTAATTTTTTCCCCTCTTTTTAGGAATGTGCAGCAAGAGGGGAGGACTATGGGAAAGTGAAGCTGCTGGAGATCAGTGCAGAAGATGCAGAAAGATGGGAGAGGAAGAAGAGGAGGAAAAACCCTGACTTGGGCTTCTCAGGTAAAACTGGCTTTTACTTTATTGAATGGGCCTGTTAATAACAGGTCTAATAATGCTCCAATATCTAAAATAGTCTCGGTTCTCCTTTTAGATTATGCTGCTGCCCAGTTACGCCAGTATCATCGGCTGACCAAGCAGATCAAACCTGACATGGAAACCTATGAGAGACTGAGAGAAAAACAGTAAGTGTGACTTATGGTATATTCTTAGTGTGTTACCTGGAAGAACTTGAATTTAAGAGTGCTGATTCTGGAGCTTTGCTTCCTGGCCTTGGGTTCTGGCTCCACCACTTACTAGATGTGTCACACAGTTTTTCTCCATTTCCTCATCTGTATACAGGGAATAATAGTGCTTGCCTCAGAGGATTATGGTAAAGATTAAATGAATTCATTCATACAATGTACTTAATGTTTGGCACATAGTACTGTATGTAGTATCATCATGTTACTGTTGTTCCTGTGTCCTTTGCCTATGGAGGACATCTACTTTGATCAGGTGCAGTAGGCCATGCTAAGCTGCACTCGCTCTTCCCCTAAGATAGGTAGTGTGCTTCAGTTCACGACTGTTTTAATAGTAATAGTGTAGCAGAGTGGAGAGAGCTCTAAATTATTCCCATGTTCTCATTCAAGCTCTCTCACTGTAGGACTTGGTTGAGTGAGTCCATTAGCCTCTGTTCCTCAGCTGGTGCCTCACTTGGGCCTTGGAGTAGATGATTTCTTAAATACCTTTTTTCAGGTCTGATTTGTTTCTTTGAAATCAAGTATGATCCCAAACATTTCCATTTTGACCACTAAACATTGTCTAGTTCTTACGGTATTGAATCTCTATAACGGTACTTACACCTTGCTCTTTCTCAGTGGAGAAGAGTTCTACCCAACATCCAACAGTCTTCTTCATGGAACACATGTGCCCTCCACAGAGGAAATTGATAGGATGGTCATAGACTTGGAAAAGCAGTAAGTACAATAATGCAACCTTAAGTTTTGGTACTGATTTCATGCCTCATTAACAAAATTAACTTTGGGGACTTCAAGTGCAGCAAGGGTTAGAACACTGGAATTACTAGTTTGAAGAGTGGTCCCATCACCATCACTTATATTTGTTTTGAATAGGGTAACAGGCAGAACCAGCTGTATATATATAAATTCTCTCAAAGTAGGGTTATACATCACTGCCTATATTTCAACATGAACCTGTGTTCCCAATCTTAAGACTAGATCATCTGATAGTACTATTAACTTATAAATTCAGGAAAATTCACTGAACATATTTCTTTGTAGAATTTTCTCCTAAAAATACTGCTTTCAGTCTTAAGACCAAAAAAGAAAGCAGCTTGGAATTCTGTATATGTTTCTATTACTGATTCTACTCTTAACTATTTGGGCATGTTTTATTACGATCAAAGAAGGTGGCAATTTTGAATTCTGTAAATTTTTTTCTTCCCTCAGAATTGAAAAACGAGACAAATATAGCCGAAGACGTCCTTATAATGATGATGCAGACATCGACTACATTAACGAAAGGAATGCCAAATTCAACAAGAAGGCAGAAAGATTCTATGGGAAATACACAGCTGAAATTAAACAGAATTTGGAAAGAGGAACAGCAGTCTGATCTTCAGGAACTGTTTTGACTGCCAAATTTTAACAGTAAACCAGGACTATTACCTTTCCTTTTATAATTGGTAAAAAAAAAAAAAAAAAAAAAAAAAAGTGTTCTATAACTATGTATTTCCAGTGCTTACATATTTATTATTCACTTGTTTCAGAAAAAAAGTCATGTATTTCTGTGTTCAAAATGTGCTTCATGTATGTACCTCCTGGGCTTAAAATTCCTAGCTACAAACATGTGAGTCATCATCATCCTTAGATTTGTCATGTTTGACTTGACCTAGAGTTGAACTGGAGAGCTTCAGAAATAGAATGCTAAATTGGTACCAATTTTTCTTGTAAGCTATGGTAGGTAGTGAAAGGAAGGGGACAGTGGCTACTGGAAATTCACCCTGGCCAACCCTCTCCAGAAATAGTCACAATTAACAGGTGCTTGCCTATCCCATGCTCTACCCCAGGGCCCAGGTACATTTACAGGGCGAGCACAGAAGGTAAGAAACTGATCCTCTAATGACATTTTTTAAATACACCATTTTCAAAAAGCAAATTTCCCTTGGAAGAAACTGTATTCAAACATTTGGCCAAAGTATTATTAAAACTTACATAATACAATTTTTTTAAAAGCCTGAGATTTTAACCTTATTCAACTGTAACTGAAAAATGAGGGCATGTAGTTTGAGTAGTAATCATGGGAAACATGGGACAGAAAACCTGAAAGGAATATCCCATAAAAAGTAAAAGTTATTTGTGCCATTTTCTATGAGGACTAGAACTGGGTTCAGTAAGTTGGGCACACCAATAGGAAGCTCTGATATAGTGAATGCCAGGCTGATTAAGATGGTAATAGAAGTGCCAGTAATAATAATGGTATATTCAATGTACTGTGAATAGGGAAATTTTAATGTACATTCAAATACAGAATGAAGTAGATCTATACATACTAACATGAAACGATGCTCATTTCTAAAGAGTTTTTATAAGGCATAAAAAAATCCAGCATGTACATCATTCTGTGCATAATTGCCTCTGTGGAATGGAAACAGGCAGTAATTTTGACTTTTTAAAAATAATTCAAGACAGGGAGCCTGGGTGGTACAGTTGGTTATGTGTCCAACTATTTTTTTTTTAAAGATTTTATTTATTAATGAGAGACACACAGAGAGAGAGAGAGGCAGAGACACAGGCAGAGGGAGAAGCAGGCTCCATGCAGGGAGCCCAACCTGGGACTCGATCCCAGGTCGCCAGAATCAGGCCCTGGGATGAAGGCAGCGCTAAAACGCTGAGCCACCCAGGCTGCCCTGTGTCTGACTCTTCGATCTCCACTCACATCGTGATCTCAGGGTCCTGGGATGGAGCCCCACAGGCTCTGTGCTCAGCGTGGAATCTGCTGGAGATTCTCCCTCTGCCTCTGCCCCTCCTGCTTGGACTCTAAATAACTTTAAAATAATTCAACACAAATACACACCTATGCTGCCCAGGCTTCTCACAGTAATAACTTGGCAGGTTCATTTGTTCCTTCAGTATTTTACAAAAAAAAAACATTTAATACCAGTGTACAAAGGAGAAAAAGGGAAAGATTAGTAAGAATAGGTTTCAAGAGATAATCTGGATATAAAGGAAAAATAGAGGCATCTGGGTGGCTCAGTGAGTGAAGCATCTGCCTTCAGCTCAGGTTATGATCCTGGGGTCCCAGGATCAAGCTCCAGGGTGGGCTCCCTGCTCAGCAGGCAGTCTGCTTCTCCCTCAGCCCCTCCCCCTGCTCACGCTCTCTCTCAAATCTTTTAAAAAATAAAGGAAAAATAGATTTCTCCAGAGGAGAAAAGCACTCAACCACCACTGCTGCTTCAACCAAAAGAGCAGACGTCAGTCTGATTTGAGGACTATTCTGAAGGTGACTGGGTGGTCCAATAAGCAATCTGTAATAAGCTCGGTGTAGGAAAGGTTCATTTTGAAGAGCAGAGAGCAAGCACTAGAAAGGAATTCAGGAAATTGATCTTCAGTTAGCAGATGATAGTAATTAAAGGCAGAGTGGAGGAAATTGTCAAGAGCTTGTAGAGGGAGATGCAGGCCAAGGATACAATCCTAACAGTGGGCAAAGGACAAAGCCAGTGTAGAAAATGGAAGGATCAAAGGAAATAAATGCATGCAAATCCCTAAAGAAAAATTTGAGGAAGAACTCAAGTGAAAAGCAAGCACTCATAAGACCCAAGTTTTATTTTACTAGAATAATCTTAAAGGTTCTCAGCAAAGAAAAAGGACAGCATGCTGTGGTTGAGTTAGTTTCTCTAGCTTACACCTTAAGAAAAAAAAAACGCAGTTTTTAACACCTGAACCTATCTAGGGATGTGCTTTCCAAAATGGTGGCCACCCACCACCAGTGACTACTGATCACTTGGGAAGTGGCTAGGATCAACTGAGGTGTGCTTTAAGTGTAAAATACACAGATATCAATACCTAGTACAAAAAGAGTGTAAAATGCCACTAATTTTTTTAGTATTTTATTTGAGAGGGAGAGATTACGAGTGGTGGAGAGAGTCAGAGGGAGAGCGAGGAGACTCCCCGCTGAGCAGGGAGGCTGATGTGGGGGGCTTGATCCCAGGACCCTGGGATCACGACCCTAGCCGAAGGCAGACACCCAACTGAGCCACTCAGCCCCAAAATGCCACTAATTCTTGTAAATACTGAAATGACATTTTAAATATACTGGGATAAATTTTCACTAATGTTTTACCTTTTTCATGGTTCTCATTTCCACTAATCTCTCGGTACAATCTCTCACCATCAGCACCATCTTCCTATACTGTCCACCACTTCCACAGTAACAGGCTATCACACCTGGGGAACTGCATCCCACTTACGTGATAGTCTGGGCTTACACTTTTATATCCTGTGTTGAAAAGCTAAACACCAAAGACCTGGACAGACCCAACAGATAAGGTCAACTTAGACAAGAAGAGTTTGTACTCAATGAGGCAATTATGAAAAAAGAATATAAACCTCTTTCCAGGACACTAGAGAAAAAGAGCCAAAGGACTAAGAGATGAACGAGGAAATAGGGAAGCCTCAGGCGTGCTAATAGGCTGAAGGAGAAGCTAATGGTGAGGAATGTTGAAGATAAAAACCACTGCTGGAGTATCAGAATTGGTAATTAGCCAGGCCTTTCTTACATAATGAAGGGGCTTGGTTGAAGACTTACAAGACTTGTCCAATCACTTAGCTGTTAAAGGCTAGTATTCGAATACAGGTCAGAATCAGAGCAAATGCTATTACCAGCAAAATGATGAAAAAGATTGTTACAAATCCTGTTTTTTAAAGATTTATTTATTCATGAGACACACAGAGGGGCAGAGATCTAGGAAGAGGGAGAAGCAGGTTCCCTGTGGTGAGCTTGATGCGGAACTCGATCCCAGGACCACAACCTGAGCCAAAGGCAGATGCTTAACCACGGAGTCCCTCAAATCCTCATTAGATTTTGCTATAACCAGGCCAGTCTACCAATGTCCTCAGGTCTCCTTAAAATAAAAATGAACCTACTTTAAGAGCATGTCCTTCACCTGGTAACTACTGTTAACCTAGATGTAAAAGGAACATGTTCACCCAGAGTAACCCTTTCTTACAGGAATTTCCCTTATTGTCCATTTAAATTTTTGTAAGGTCAAATTTAATTAGAGCAGCTCGTTCCTATACAAGATTTTAGAATATAATCTATTATCTCTACTTTCCTCTAACACAGCCATTAGCCTTAACACTTCGGAAGCGGCTAGTATGAGAAACTGGATGTAACCACATGTGGCTAGGGACCAGGTTACTGCAAAGTACAGGTAAAATCCTAGACAGCACAGCTTTAACAGCCAAGTAGGTGTCGCCAGAGGACCTTCGCTACTGTTTTTACTTAGGAGTTCAGGACCTCTGCCTAGTCATCTATTGATAATCTTATTATCTGAGTGTTTCTTTTCCAGTTGTTTGATCTCTAACAGTCTGCCTACCCTGTCCTCTACCTATCATCCCTGCCTACTGGAAATCTATTTCATTATTTTCTAACTTTAAGAGACTACTCAAAGTTGATAAAAGAGAGAACAAGTAGCAAAGAAAAACATACTTTAAAAAATGTAAAAAAAGCATAATAGAGATGCCTGGGTGGCTCAGCGGTCAGGCGTCTGCCTTCAGCCCAGGGCGTGATCCTGGGGTCCCAGGATCGAGTCCCCCATCAGGCTCCCTGCATGGAGTCGGCTTCTCCCTCTGCCTACATCTGCCTCTCTGTCTCATGAATTAAATAAGTAAAATCTTTAAAAAAAAAAAAAAAAAAAAAAGGCATAATAAAGAAGTACAGACTAAACCTCACAGATTTTAAGTTCAAGAGGCATTTCCATTTCTCCCCCTCTGGCTGAGTTTCCTGCCCTCAAACTTACAGTTTAACTCTTCCAGGATAACACTACACCACAATCCCACAAATTTTAAGCATTATCTTCTCAAATTTAAATGAAGATCCACATCAACTGGGAATATTAAGATTCAGGTTCAAATTCAGGTCTAGGGTAGAGACAGAAATTTAGCATTTCTCACAAACTCCAGGTAAAGTCAGCGAACCCTATGCCATCAAGTCCATGGATTTGGATGTGGGATTAGCAAGGCTTTTTTTTATAACAAGAAACACTTTATACTTCTTTAAATAAAGACTCGTTACGTTATATATACACAAATTTTACACAAAGTGACACAAATTTTAAAAAACAAATTTATTAAATATAAACACTGTTTTCTCTTATAAATTTTGCTTTTACATATAAACTATCATACAAAACATTTACAAGTGTATGTACAAGACTCCCACCTGTATGAATCCTCTGGTCCATGTGTTCTTATCTATAAGAGAAATCTAAAATGTTAATCTAATATATTAAGGATTTACATATTTATGTCTCATCCTTTGGAACTGCAACAATTACCACTAAATGACTCCCACGGATTCAATAATGCTAGAAATACACATCTGCAATAAAGTGCACTTAAGCCAACCTTCTACATTAATTTTCTTTTTTCAGACAGGTATCCACAGTCCATACGGACTTTTTTTCTTATCTATTTTGGGAGTTCCTGAAGAGGTCTCTTCAGCAGTAGCTTTAGCTGGTTTCTGAAGCATTGGCTTTGCTACAGAATTCTGTAAGAGAAAAAATTCTTAAGTCAGCTATGCAAACACATACACTTTACTTGAAAATACTTGCTTTTTACAAAATACACTAAATTTCATTAAAAATTAAAACGTAAGAGAAATCAACCAAATCCAAAGCACTGGCCCACATCTATAACATGATCCAATCAAACTGTAAAACAAAAAAACTACTAGGGAAAATCAGACATATGCAAAGTATATGGCAGAAGCGTATTATTTTTTTAAGCCCTTGGCTGATTTCAAAATACTCTGATTATAGGGTTTTCCGAGATGTGCTTTTTTAAATAGTTCAACAAGAATAATATTTTAAAGAAAAGTGAAATGATCGAATAAAAACTGAATACCAGATACAGATGGAATCAGTACACTGGTCACTTTTAAGAATGGTACAAAAAATTTTGAAAGGTTTGTTCTATCTAAAAGTGGCTTAGTAGACCCAAAATTACCACAAAAACAAGGAGCCTTCCAACAAAAATAAAAGCCCATATAAAAATGTTTTAACTCCAGTTTTTGAGTAAACAATACTTAGGTATACGTACATTAGAGCTAAAAGCTATGCTTTTTTGCTGGGAAGACTTCTCACTGGGATTTTTAGTTCCATCTTCTGATAGCTTTTCCGACAACTAAACAGATAAGAGAAAAAACATTTTCAGAAAACCATTCACCCTTAGTTTCCCATACTGTATAAATGCAGCCCAACTGTATATAAATTGTAGAGACACAAATCAAGTTGGATCTAACCATATAGTTAACAGCCTCAACATTTAGTATTCCAGCTTTCCCATAAAAAACTGATTCAATAATCGCCTTAAGACACACTTCCTCATTAAACAGTATTATATTGCCCTGATGTAAATTCAAGTAACTCTGAAAGTAAAGTCATACCAGAAAATAACTAGTTTCAAAGAACTAAGGCACTTGCCACATGGAAACCTAATCATTTGAACCAACTCGACTAAGATCACTAAGATCCTGTTTACTACGAAACACTTAAGCAAAACCCTGGGTCTGAATGATAGAACCAGTTAAGATGTTTACCACTTAAACAGTAGTAAACTACTGTTTACTACTAAACACTTAAGCAAAACCCTGGGTCTGAATGACAGAATCAGTTAAGATGTTCTCTAGACAAACCTATCAAACCCGTAACTATCATAAAATCTTGGAGATTGCGAATTTTATACTTTCTATTTCATATAATTAAGACCACAGTGCAATTTGTCAATGCACATCCTACACATTTCTGGAGAATTATAATAAACTTATCTGCAAGTGAAGTAGGCCTCTTCTTCTGTAATTTCTCAAAACATCTGGAATATATTGCATATATTATGAAAGGGACATCTGTATCACAGATGCCCATTACAAAGTATTTAGTTTAAAAAAAATTGTCTTCAGTATCTTATGAAAACAGTATCTATCCCAAATTCTAGCATGCACATGATTCTACCAACAAAAAACTAAACTTTCAGTGTGTGAATGTAAACTTCAAATTAGTTAAACCTCTGATGCTTTTGCCCATGTATCAATTACCAACAGATTTTCTTCATCAATGTCTGGAGACCACATTCATGATTTCTATAAGACAGAAATAAAGCAGATAAACTATACTGTATGCTGAAAAAGAGATTTTGTGGGAACATAATGCTGCAAATGAAAACTATTGATAAAATACTCTGTAAAGGCTGCTTTGAAAAATTTGATAGCTACATAGAAATTGCCAAAATACCACCTACAACTATGAAAATAACTACTACTAAGTCACATAAAAATAAACATCATTAATCTCCCATTTTCATGGGGGGAGAGACCCTTTCTAGAATTATTTTGATCTTAACATATTATATTTAGGCTTTCCAAGAAGCACTCTAAAATAAATCAAACAAAAATGGCTTATTAGATCTTCCTAACAGTAGTTTTCTGAAGATTTTGTTTGGCTAAACCTACGATAATTACCTCAAACTTTGCACCACTGTTTGGTACAGCTGTTCCACGGTTGGTTTCTCTAGATCCAAGAACAGTTCTGAGACTAGCTGGCAAGTCAAAGTTGGCTGTTCCTAAAGCTTTTGCTGCATTAGCTTTTGCTATTTCTAACAGCTCCATTCGATCTATAAAACAAGACAAAACATTCATTAATCTTTCAGTACGTTTATCCAAAGAACAGTGAATCACAAAGTTTTTTTTATTTAGACTAACAATTCAAAGACATTGAAGTATTTTCTTTTAGTGGGTAAAATATAGCTGTAATGACAAAAAATTCTTCACCTCATCTTTTTTGCTAGGAAAAACAAGCAAGCATCCCTAAATAATCTTACCAACTGGTTTTCAATTTGCCTTACCAAAGAGGCCTGAATTTCCTGTATTCCCTTCCTCTTCAAACGTGTACTCTGAACATCAAGTCCTCTTGTAATAGATTTTGTATTTGGCACAAACATCACAACTAATTAACCAATACAGACACATTACTAAATCTATTTTCGGACTCCTAGAATACTCGTTTGCATGTCTTTTTCTGTTCTATGATCCTATCCAGTGGTAAAACAAATCACTTGTAAAAAAAATACTGAAACTGGGGTGCCTGGGTGGCTCAGGTCATGTTCCCAGGTGCCTGGCATAGAGCCCTGCATGAGGCCCTCTGCTTCTCCCTATGGCCCCTCCTCTGCCCAGGTGCTCTTTCTCTGATAAATCTCTAAATAAAACACTGGAACAAAATACAGCAGTTCCAGTAACATGGTATGGAGGAAAAAAACTGTGATCCTCCTCTTCTCTTAAAAGCTTAAGACAGACTACTGAAATCACTAGCAACAGCTAGAAAGGCTCCACTGAGAAGGGCCAGCCACTAGGAAAAAAGGACTTAATACCACAATCGGCTTCCAATCCCCAGGAGAAAAGAATGTCCACTTTAAAACTGGGTACCAGGGGATCCCTGGGTGGCTCAGCGATTTAGCGCCTGCCTTTGGCCCAGGGCGTGATCCTGGAGACCCGGGATCAAGTCCCACGCCGGGCTCCCTGCATGGAGCCTGCTTCTCCCTCTGTGTCTCTGCCTCTCTCTCTCTGTGGGTCTCTCATGAATAAATAAAAATCTTTAAAATAAAATAAAACAAAACTGGGTACCAAATGGAGCGCTTTTAACCGCTCTTAATCTAGTATGTCCCTTCCCTCCTTCCTCCCAACCAAACTAGTAAAATTATAGGAACCAAAAGCAATGGAAAGCGCCTCACTCCACGGCAACGTCGGTCCCCCAGCGCACTCGCGTTGTCGCCAGCCACGTCAAAGGGCGAGGCGGCAGCCGACTCACCTTTCTCGCTCAAGCGAAAAGGGGTGGGGCTCCGCGAGCGGCTCCGGGACCTGCCCCTCCAACTTCCGCGTTCCTCCGGGTACAGGGTGCGGCCGAAGCCGTAGTAGCGCCGGCCCTGCGGCAGCGCGTAGGCCCGTCGGTAATAGGAGCGTCCCCGCGAGCCGGACCGGCTTCGGGAGCGCGGCCGGGACGGCGACCGGCGGTATCTCCCGGTCGCGCCGTAGCGCCGGTCCCGGTCCCGGCGGCCGCGGGAGCGCGACCGGCTGCGCGAGTAGGAGCGCGAGTAGCGCCTGTACTTCCTCTGGTGGCGCCTAACGGACCGGGACCTCGACCTGCCCCTCCTCCGGGGCCGGCTCCGACTGCGACTCCGCGACGACGCCCGGCTCGAGCCGCTGGAGCGAGACCGAGAGCTTCCGCTAGACGAGCGGCTCCTGGACGCCGAGGACAGGCGGCCGGACTCGCCCGACCGGGACGTCGAGGGGGACTCCTCGTCCTGAGGCGAGCCGGGCCACAGGTCGTTCACGTAGTGGGACATGTCGGCCCGAGGCTGCAAGCTTCCCCCGGTCAGAGGATCCCTGCCCGGAAACCTGGCGCCTAAAACCTACCGGGGGGGAGGGGGCCGGAAGTGAGTCGCGCCGGCGGGCCCCACGCCGACAGGCTCCCCCAGCCGCTCGGACTCGGGGCGCTGGCGACCCCAACGCCGACTGCCCGCCCTGCCCGCCCCGCCGGCCGCTCCTTTCCGCCCGCCCCCGCCCCAGGGGCCGACCCCGTCACCCGGAAACCTACCGCCACAGGCCGTCGACGCCTCACCGCGAAGGCGAAAGGACCCACCGACACCTTCCTCCCGAAGCTGAGGACGAAGAGAGGGTTTCGGAGGCTGCTCTGGAAAAGCGGAGCGTCAGCCGCCCCCTTCGACCTCTAGCCCCGAAGTGAGGGCGGCGGTAGCCGGGTCGAAAGTACCCGAAGCCGACGCGCAGAGCATGCGCAGAGACGTTGGCGCGGCGGGCGTGGCTCCCCCCTCGCCCAACCGCCGCTCGCTCTTCCTCCTCTCGTCCCGCGCCCCGCCCCGCCCCGCCCGCCGTGCGCAAAGTCCCGGATGCGCAGGCGTCGTCGTCCCGGGAGGGGGGAGGGGGGCGGAGCTGCCGCATCCGGGTACCCGGGGCTCTGTTTTCTTTGCTGAAAGTGATAGTGAGAGGGACCTTCGCCCGGCGGGCCCCCGGGTTCACGGCCGCCCGCCGGGCCGGTGCAAACAGGGACGGGACGGTGCAACTTCCACCGTCTGGGAAGCTGCAGACTCGGGCTGAGCCTCCCTGCACCCTTCGAGGCCACTTCCTCCTGACTGGTGTCCGGCGGGAGAGGGCGATCGCAGGGGGAACCCCAGGCTGGGGGACGGCGCCCCCCCCGCCCCCAGCGGACGTCTCAGGAGCTCCGTCCCTGCAGTGTTAGCTTCGAAAAGGTTGCTTAACGCCCGTGTTTTGTCCAGTAAAGGTCAAGAAAGTTGACCCATAACGAGGGGGTCAGAATGAGAAGTCAGTTCCGAGGACTCTGCTTGGTGTTGGGGATTAAACAATGGTGACTTTTATTTCTGGGGATTTGTAAAGAGGATAACATGCCAAGTGTTACTTAATGCTTAGTAAAGCATGACATGCCGCGAAATAACTTTTCATTGAATTAACTAATCACGTCTGTAAATAGAATCATTATATGAGGTTCTTTGCAAGTCAAGAGTGGCACTTTTAACTTTCTTTGGAGGGAGATACAAATTCACTTTTCTCGTGTTTATCTTCACCCCACATCCCCCAAAGAAATGGAGGGAATAAAAACCTTATCACAGAATCTGCATCCGCTCATGTAACCTGCCTTGGCACCGTCACAGTATCATCTGCATCTCTAGGCAAGCATCGTGATGGAAATCACTCTTAAGGAAAGAAATATTTCCTTAGAAACATTTTTCTAAGTGGTATCAAGTAAACTGAGAAGACAGTGCCCAACTGCCAGGAACTTTTGCTGAATTTCTCATAAAGCTGTGTGAGTGGACAGAAAAAATGAGTTTCAGTTTTGACAAGTGTAAAAGGGATGTGTTGGAATATAGCATGATGCAGTGTTGAGCTTTGGTTAAAACGGAAGGGGTGGTGAGAGTCTGTAAAAGGGTGGCTTAGTCGGTTAAGCATCTGCTTTCCAACTGGGTCTTTTTTTTTTTAAGATTTTATTTATTTATTCATGATAGACATAGAGAGAGACAGGCAGAGGGAAAAACAGGCTGCAGGCAGGGTGCACGAAGCAGGACCCGATCCCAGGACTCCAGGATCGCTCTCTGGGCCACAGGCAGGCACTGAAACACTGAGCCACCCAGGGATCCCCTCCAACTGGGTCTTGATCCTGAGGTCTTGGAATGGAGCCTGCCACTGGGCACCCTGCTCAGCAAGGAGCCTGCTTCTGCTTCTCCCTCTCCCGCCTTCTCCTGCTTGTGCTCTCTGTGTCAAATAAATAAAATTAAATTTTAAAAAGAGTCTCTGTAAATGGTTCAAAATATCAGTCAAATGTGTGCCTAAAATAAGATTAGAAGAAAAATCCCGTACCTTAACAATAAGAATATTGGAAATACAATGGGAAACGTTACTTTGCCCTTGTGCATGATACTGGTATATTTGTATATAGAATATGTGTAAATCTACCTGAGTTAAAGTCTACAAGAAATGTGTTTATTTTTCTAAGCAATACAGTCTTCTCTGAGCATCTATCCCCTCACATGATTCAAGATACAATTTCAGTTATTAAAGCATTTTGCACAGAATTTACAAGGTAATTCAAGCAGAAATGACGTTTTACAGTAGCATATCTACCTATCCAAGAATGTGACATTTTTCTACATTTATTTAAAATTGTTTAGGTCCTTCACTGTGGTAGGCAAATTAATGGCCCCCAAAATATCCGCACTCTAACTCCCAGAACCTAGGAATGTTACTCTACAAAAGGACTTTTGCAGATGTGATTAAGGACCTTGTGATGAGATTATCTTGAAATGTGGGGGCTGGAGGAGGTAGGCCCATCCAATCACAGGAGTGTTTATTAAAAGCCTGAGAAGGATGCCACAACCTGTTGCTGCTTCTGAAATGTTGGGGGTTATCTACAAGGGTCTGAGAAGCCTCTAGGAGCTTGTTGAGTCACCAAGGTAATGGAGATCTCAGTCCCATAACCTCATGGAATTGAATACTGCCAATACCTGAGTAAGCCAAGATGTTGGAGATTCTCCCCTAGTCTCCAAAAGGAACACTGCCCTGCTGACGCCTTGACTTTAGCCAATATGAAAGATTTTTTCACTTCATAGGTAAATTCAACCCATTTACATTTATTGGAGTAACTGCAATGTTGATTTTATCACTTCCATTAGTATGTCTTATTTATTTTACTTTGCTTTTTTCACTTTTTCCCAATTTATTTTGCCAACTTGATCAAGTTTCTCTTTTTTCCTCCCTCTCCAATGCTTCTGCAATAAAGCTTCTGCAGTGCTTCATCATCCCATTAGTGATTTAATGTCTATCTTTTTGGGATGCCTGAGTGGCTCAGTGGTTGAGCGACTGCCTTTGCTCAGGGAGTCGCGCATCCAACTCCCCACAGGGAGCCTGCTTATCCCTCTTCCCATGTCTGCCTCTATCTGCGTGTGTCTCATGAATAAATGAATAAATAAAAATCTTTTTTTAAAAGTGTATCTTTTTTTATCTCTACCAAACATGTAAGCCTGTTTCTCCTCTTTTCCTGTCTCTGTAGAATGTTTATTATATTAGATGCTGTTGGATAAGTTAAGAAAAATTTAGTGTCCCTTTCCCCTACCAATATTAAAATTTTTCATTAATTTTAATGGCAGCTAATTTTGTAACAAGTGAGGAAATCCAATGATATACAAAGTAAAAACTAATAATCCATTCCTTGAAGGTATGGAATACTCTAAAAGAGGTCCCCATTATTTCACTCATAAATTAGAAGTAACCAATGTTAACAGTTTAGCAAATGCCCTTTCATCTTTCTCCAAATTCTTTCAAATATACAAGCATGTCGATTTTTAGGAATATGGACTCATTCTAAAAAAAATGGACTTAAAACTGGTTTTTATAACCAAAATTCTTTAAGATAAGTCATAAAGATCTGATTTGTGTCTAATTGTCAGCTGTATAATATAGTCTAGAAATACCAGAAATGGATCTTTTATCTATTTATTTTATCTGCTTATTCATGTGGTATCCAGTTTTACCGCCACTAAAAACCACGCTTTGTAACCAACATTGGATTCTGAAAACATCAGCAGTTACAAAGCTCCTAATCCATGCTTCCAAGGTCAACTGAGCCATGTTCAGGATACAACGTGGAGCAGCTGATTGCAATTAATACCCCCAGCACTATTCAAGGGGTTATCTTTGAGATACATGACATAGCTCAGGGGTAAGCTCAGCTCTCTCAGACCAAGAGACAGGATCAGAGGAGCTTTCAACCAAAGAGCTTATCTTTTTTTTTTTTTTTTAGAGCTTATCTTTTTCCTCAAAGAGAAAGAGCTCTGAGTGATTCTGACATAAAAGACATATTTATTGATCTTACATCACAGGCGAGTTGACATCAGACATCCCTGTTGCTAGCTAGAGCTGCTGTAGCATTGTTAGCTATGCAGTAGTGCAGTATTCAAGGCAAGTAACACAAAGATCAATAAGCTCCAGTTTGATGTGTCCCAAGGAACTCCTGTCATTGGTTCAATCGTCATCCCATATGGGCTCATGCCTCCACTGCCTACAATTACTGAGCCACACTATAACCAGACTGTTATTCCTAGTGCTCCTCCTGATGGCCGTTTTTCAGGTTAGTAGCTCTGGCATGGAAGTATCAGGTTTACAGCAGAATTCAAGGCACCCCTCCATATATCAAGCTTGATGCATCTGTTTCCTGCCATGAAGACTTACCACATGAGGATGTTATCTGTAACATCACCGTGAAAGCTGCTCCTCTGTTCCCATTGCAGCCACTATAGAGAGGTGTTACGGATTCTGTACTGTCATTTGGCTTTGAGGGAGCCAGGAAAGCAAGTGAACAGTGCACAGATCCAGATGTGTATCTGTCAATATCATTCTCAACAACCCACAAAGGTGCAATTACTGGTGGTGGTTATTACAGTATAAAGACTGATGGGTGCCTCTGCCTGAGAGTGTGACGTTTGTGTCCATGCCTAATGGCCACCCATATTGCTCATTTGAGAATTACTCTACTTTGCACAGCAATATAACCCTTCAGTGCACACCCTGCTCACTGGGGTGCTGCTACTCAATTAGACAAGCTGTTTCAGCCACACTCACCTGAATGTCAAAAGAACCATAATTAACCATATGTGGATTGTGTTGCACAACCTTCACAAGGAATTTTACTTCAGTAATGGCACAGCCATGGAAGGCAAAAAACAAAACAAACAAACAACTAGAAAATGTCAACTGGTCCAGAATGGAAGCACAAAGGCTTACACTATTGATGCTGTAAAAGACTTCATTTTCGAAGGTTAGATGTCATGCAGTCTACTGCATGCTTGCTCCCTCAAGTCCTTTCACAGCCAGCCTTTACTTGACCATGCTTGATTTTTGCTGCTTTGGCTCAACAATCAAACAATCTCAGGTACTGTCTCAGGAGACTCGGTACTTGTCTGGCCCTGTGAACTATTCTGTCTTCAACCTAACAACAGATGACATTTAGTTCAAGGTACCATGCAGTGAAACCATGATGTCGTAGCAGCTGGGCAGGATCTTACATAGTAATATTCTTTTCAGAGGCAAAATATGACACGTATCAACTTATCTGGCCAATGAAAAAATTATGCCCTGAGTAGTCATCTGACCGTTGCCCTCATTTTCAGCAATCATTTCGTCAAAGCACATTATTGGGTAAGTTTTTACTAGGAGACATCCTAGACTTGGAGAGTTGACCTCGTAGGCAGCTTGGGTGGGTGAGATTTTTAAACCTTATAAGATT